GGAAGCCTGGCCTCCCCACCAGGCTGCCGGCCCTTGTTCTTGGCTCCAGGTGTCTGGAAGGTCGGAGTGTCTCCAGCTGACAAAGGCTGGTGGCTTCAAGTCACACCTGGCATTCATCCCCATGTGGGTGGGGCTACTCACAGAGGCCTGTCCCTGTACTTCCCCTTGGCACCCCAAAGTGGAACAGCTTCCTGGCCAAGCCCCCCTCCTCTGACCATGCAGCTCCCCTTCTGAAGAGAGGCATTATCAGCTATCATTATCATGCAAGGAGTGCCCTCACCAAAAAGGCCTCGCTTGGCACTCCTGAAAAGAAGCCTCTTTCATATCCACTGAAAGCCCCGAAATCAAGCCAAGGCCCCTTCCTGCCTTCTCCAGGCCTCTGAGCCAAAGCCCTGAGAATGGAACCCACATCTGTTCCCTACAGTATCTTGGGAATAAAGGAGTAGGTGAGGGGTCTGGTGGGCCTGAGGTCAACTCCGCCTACACCAAGTTGCCCGAGGACCCGAGCCTGACCAAGACCCCGGCCACAGCAGGCGATCACACTGGCAGGATTGGATCTTCTCGGTAAGAAAAAAAATGGGATGGAGGGGTTGAAAAGTGATATTAATTATTCAGGGGAGAGGTGGTTTCTTGCTGCCCTGGATGGGAAGGGTGCAGTTTTACCATGACTGTGCTATTGTCCTTCCAGTACGTGTCCCCTGCCCCTCCCTGTCAGCCCTGTATCTGCATGAAGGAGCCAGTTAGATCCAGGTATCAATACTTCAAGAGGGTTTGGTTGCAGCTCCCTATAAAATCCTCTCCCAGCTGGCCTCGAATCTCGCCTGCTTCTAGGATTCTCAAACAGACTTGTGTGGGATTGTTTGAGGCTCTGCTGGCCCTTGGTTCTGTCTCATTCTGAGCAAGCAAGAGTTCTGAAAAGAAGGGCAGCAAATCCACAAGGCCCCCCGCCTCGGGCTCCCCAGTTCCCTGCTGGTCCCTGCACCCCTCACAGTGAGGCCCAGCCTGCCCGCCCATGGTGATGAACCCCTTCTGCCTTGACACAGCTCCGTGACCAGCCTGGGCCACACGCTGGTGGAATCTGCCCTCACGTGGCCTTCCGTGCCCAGCCCTCACGGGGCCTCACCCAGGTAGGACCCTGGGACCCCCGGACCCTCACAGGCCTTCCCATCCCTGATTGCCCAGCCAGTATTGCCATCCCATTACAAGGAGGGGAAACTGATGCCCGGCCAAGTCCAGGATCTCTTCCAAGACTATGTGAGGATGTGGAGGGTCAGTGAGGTCCAGTGCCTTATCCAAGGTGATAAAGTAAGTGGCTTCAGAATTAGAGTCTCGGTCTCTGATTCACAGTCTAGTGTTCCTTCCTGCTGCCACAGAGTTAACACGAGGAATCTTCCAGCACCTGGAGCCTAGCACTTTCCCTTGCCTCCTCTTGCCCATCAAGAGTCAGTCTCTAGGGGGAGACTTTCACGTCATATGAGTTCCCACTGATATCCCCTCAGCCCTCTGGCCCCATCTTTGTTGATAGAATCAAGCCTTTCGGCTTAAATGGACCCTTTGTTCTTCCTGCCAGCTCACAGACAAAGGGTGGCTTTGTCCTGCCCTGTCCCAAGCCCTACCCACTGTCCACTGGAGCTCCTGCTGCCCCCACCCCTCAGGCAGGTCAGCTCAGGTTCCGTCAAGGCCTCTGAGTGGCCCTTGTCCCATGTTTGACTTGCTATGTGGCTCTGGGCAAATCAGTCCTCCCTGGGCTGCTGTTCCCAAGAAGTGCCAGGGAGACTTCTAGCCTGACATGGGGCAGCCCAGGGGCCAGGGGCCAAGGCCACCCCTGCAGCCACCCCACCCATCAGCCTGGGGTCACAAGGGCAGTTAGGGGAGAGGGGCCCACCCTGAGCCTCAAGGCCCCATGCCACGCTCTCCTCACACCACAGGGAGAATGATAGGCTCTGCCACTCTGAGGTTGCTGTCACAGTAGTAGGAGCAAGAGGATGGATAGGATGCCCCCAGGGTCCCTTCCAGGCTATGTGGCGGTGACCTTTGCACTCCACAGGGATGCAGAAGCCAGTGTGCACTGGGCTGCCCAGACTGGTTCTTAAGCTTGTTTTTTCTCAACACAAATATTTACTGAAGCCAACCATATGCAGGCCCTGCCCTCCTAGAGCTTACAGTCCCCTCCCATCAGTGACAGGACAGATGTTCATGGGGCAGGAGTGACCCCAGAGAGTGGGTCTATCAGGATGGGCATGGTGGCTCTGATGGGGTACCTGGGAGGTGGGCGGGGAAGGGGATCAGCTCCTCCCCTAACATGTGAGATTATGGAGGTGCCTGGAGCAGGGTTTTCCAAACTGAGCTGTGCACACGAATCTGCTGAGGGTCCACCAGATTAGATGTGGGTGTGACTCTGAGGCTCTGGGCTAGAGACTGGGGTCCTGCATTTCCAACAAGCTTCTGGATAATGCCACAGTCGCTAATTCAGAGACTACACTGTGAGCAGCAAGGCCTTAGTGTATATTTAGGGGCCAGAACAAGGAGGAGCCTATAGTCCTCAGAGCCCATCTCAACCAACTCCTGTTCAGAGGGATGACTGGGGCCCAGAGAGGGGAAGAGACTGGGCCAGGACCACGGAGCCAGTCAGCCTCTGGGTTCCAGGCCCAAGCCCAGCCCTCCTTGTATCCCGCTGGAAGAGCAAACCATTGTCACCAAGGCCTCCCTGGGAAGGATGAGGGCAAAGCAGAGAGCAGCCTAGCACTCACACGTGGGCTCTGGGGGGGTCAGGGTGGGGGGCCGAGCTCACCTTCTGTCCTAACCCCAGGCAGCAGGTAAGGGGCTGGTAGGCAGGCCCAGTGGTAAGGAGGGAAGTGGTGATGGGCTGGATCAGGGCTGGAGAGAACTGACCAAATCAAAAGCAAGTGTCCAGACTCCAGGAAAGTGGACTGGGCTTGGGGCCATGCCAGGAGATACAGGAGGGCTGGGGCAGGCTGGCAGGGAGACAGAAGCTGGGCCCACCTGGCACTGAGAAGGAGACCAAGCCCCCAGTTCCCAGGACACCCCAGGTCCCCAAGAACCAACTTCCAGACTAATTCCAGGCTCCTCCAGGGGCTGGATGGACAGAGGTGCTGATGCAACTCCAGCCCTGGTGGAGTCTGGCTCTGGCGCCTGCTAAGTGAGGTCTAGAGACTTCCGCAGGGCCAGGAGTGGTGGACTGAGGAAGAGACCAGAGGAGGGGGGCCGGGAGGGACTGGGTTGGCTTCCTTCTCTCTGGCTCTCTCTGAGGACCCTGAATGTCCTTCCAGTCCCTCCCACCATCACAGAGACAAGTATCTCTTTGGGCAACCCTTAAATAACCTCTGCCCCCCAACCCTGGTCCCCAGGTTCTCGGACTCTCCAGAACAGAAAGGCTGGAAGACACAGGTGACAGAGTTCAAGGCCCTCTGGCAGGCCGCTGAGGTGGAGCGTGACCGGCTCACCGAGTTTGTCACCGTCCTGCAGAAACGGTAACCCCTGGCACCAGGGATGCACTCTTGTGGGCTGGGAGCGGGCAGCCTGACACAAGGGCCTCCCTCTTGGACAGGGGCCAGGCCATGTCCATGACGGGGCCCACCTCACTGGTGAGTTGAGCTCCCAGTGTTGGTCCCAGGTCTTCCCAACCATCTCATGTGTCCCCCAAGGGCTCACAGCCTCGGGGCCTCGTCATCACAGTTGTGGTTTGCTCTGTCCTACGCGTCCTCAGCAGGAGTGTTGCATGCATGTGGCCATGAGGTGGGCATCTCAGGAGAGAGACGCTCTGGAGTAGGTTAATCAGTCAAACCAACCCACAAGTGATGGAAACCTATGATGCCCGTGGCTCTGTACTGGGTGTCGCCAGAGGCTTTGGTGGAGAGAAGTCCCAAGCTAGACTGAGGTGTGGAGCTACAGAGGGAAGAGAGCTGTGGAGAGGTGGGCAGCTGGGACTTCCCCTGAGGGGAGGGGAGGGAAGAATGCGGCCCGAGGCACTGGACCAGGAGGTTTGGTTTCCTCCAAGGGGGTGTTGACAGATTTCTATTCAGATAAATCAGTGTTCCTCACTCAAGTGACCCTCTTGGCAAGAACTGTAGGTGCCTAGGCCAACACATGGCCTAACCATGTGACCTCCTCACTGAAAACTATAAAGAACACCACTGAGTGCCCGGACAGGCCGTGTCACATGTCAGTCAGGGCTCGTTGACAGCAGACAACAGAAGCCAATTCTGGCTTAGTTAAGGGAAAGGAGATTTTTGGAAGGTGCTGGGCACTGGGGTGCAGGGTAGGAGAAGAGCCCAGGAAGACCCAGGAATCTTGCTATCAGAAACCCTTGGGTGGCCTCTCCTGGGCCACGGGAATGACACAGGCCCAGTGGCTTTCAGTTCTTATGCTAACAGGTTCTGGGAGAGATGATCTAGCTGGCCTGGGTCATGCGCACATCCACCCCTGGGCAGAGGCCAGGCACTCTGACTGGAAGAACCTCTAGGTGCTCATAGAATGGAGGAGGGGCAGCCTGCCCAAGGGAAAGATGGAATGTAGTCCCCAAAGAGGGGGCTGGGGTGCTGGGAAGTGGTCAGCAGGTGGCAACTCCCTTTGCAGTGAAATGTGATCAGCTGAACTGTTTTCTTTTCAGTAGTAAGAACACAGAATATGAATTTCAGATGCTCAGGTATATAAAAAAAAGTAACATTAATTATATTTCTGTAATTGAAATACAGTGGCTAATACAAGGCTCTAGTCTACCAAATGAAAAAAACATACTCAATTATGTCTTTCTCTCCCATTTCCTTTTGAGTTGCAGCTGAGTTTAGGGGGGGTTGTGAACCAAGGCGGCTCAGTTATCTACTGCAGTAAAACAGACCATCCCAGACCTAGTGGCCTCAAACACGATGGTTTGTTCTTTCTCACGAGTCTGGAGGTTGCCTAATTCTGTTTCACGGCATGCCAGGGGCCTCAGGCTGAAAGCAATGGTAAAGTCCTGCGTCCAATGTCCAGTGGCTGAAAACAACATATTTCTTACATTTTATCCATTTTTCTAGTTGTTTACAGAAGGAGGTGATAATCTGGTGGTTGTTCTGCCAAGATGAAAGTCGCTATATATACCTTTATTTTTGGTTGGGGGAGGTAATCAGCTTTGTTTGTTTGTCTGTCTGTTTGTTTGTTTAATGGAGGTATTGAGGATTGAACCCAGGACCTCGTGCACGCTAAGTACATACTCTACCACTGAGCTATGCCCTCCCCTAGCCTTTCTTTAAGCATAAAGTTGGCTTTGTTTTTATAAAGATTTAATCTGAGAATCTGTGTTTGAACAGTAAAGTTTAATCCATCTTCATCTTTATAATATTTAGATATATTTTGTCAACTCAGTATTTTCCATGTGCCGTGATCTTCCTTTGCTCTTTTTTCCTGCATTCTTCTTCCTTATATTGGATGGATAAAGTTTTATTTCCCTCTCTTCTATATGCATTTGAAAGTTATACATTCTATCTCTGTTTTTTAGTGGTTACCCTTAACTTTGAACATTGAAACTCAGCAAGTCTGAAGTCAGTGGGTTTCTTTATTATCACTTTGAGCAACAGAATAAATTTAGAATGTTTTAACTCCAACTTCCCTGCTTGTATCTTTCACAGTACTGTTTTCTAATATTTCTCTCCATGTTCATTTTTTAAACCCCCTGAAATTAACCCTTTAAATTCATCTTTTAAAAAAATAGTCAATATTCATTTACTTTTGCCAACATGTTTAAAAA